GAGCAGAAAGGGGGGGAGGAGGGGTCAGATTGGTGGGGGTAATTCCATTTTCCCAAATTTGCCTAGGAAAGTGGAATTGCCCTTTTTAAGGAGGTTATGCAAGGTATCAAATAGAACAGTTTGTGGCAACTGATGAGGTGTACAACTAGGTGAGGTTAATGGGTAATACAATATGTGCTTGAACATGTACTGAACAGAAAGGGATAAGGTAATTCAAAGTGCTTACTGGTACTTTAGGCAAAAACAAGCATATAACCCTTGAAGTACAGGTGATGCCTCACTACAAGGGTAGTTTTTTCTTTTCCCCGAAGTTCGTCTTTCGGGCCAGTTCACACCACTATCTCCGTGTTCCAGTGCATTCGGCCTCTGCAACTCAAGCCAGCCGGCTCTCTGCATTCATGGGAGGGGGCGTGGCGTTGCATTGAATTCAATGGCACCGCAGCCATGACCCCCGTCCGCAGGGCGATTGTCTGCACCCGGAACGCAGGCACGTTATATATAACACACAAATATTGAAAGCACTATTTTTGCAGAACGCACTGTACCGGAATGCAAGCACTAATGTGCCTGCGTTCCGGGTGCGGGCAATCGCACTGGGGGGGCGTGGCTGCCGTGCCATTGACTTCAACCCCCTAACGCAGCCCTGAACGCAGAGAGCTGGCCGGATTGCGTTCCAGAGGCCGAACGCACTGGAACGCGGATGTTGTGGTGTGAACCAGCCCTCAACGTGTCAGTCAGAGAAGCTCCACAGCAATATAAATTACATGCAAAACATGCTTGATGAATACTGCTTGCTGTGGTTGACTAAATTAATGTTGCCTAATTTCCTGGGAATTAATTAAAAGACAACTGCTTTACAGTTAATTCCTTGTCAAAAATAGAAATCCATTCTTATTCACTTGTGAAAACTTGCCTTTGTTATGCTATGAAATGTGGCCTTCAGTCAGAGCTTTTTCTCTGTGAATTTGAATGGAGGAGGATGGTGTGTGATAGGAAAAACACCACCGGTTTCTTTGAATGTCACTGCACAGCTGCAATCTTTGCATTCAGCTTGTGATAATGAAATAGCCCCTACAGGACATCGGTTACTAATTTCCAAGGGTCACATTAATCACAGTAAGAGGTCGTCTTGTTCTGCTTCTCGATGACTGAGTCCTGTTCATTGCATCAGTTGACTGCACTGTTATTTTCTCCTTTCCTCATTTGGTCTCTGACCTTAAGACTAGACTCCGATTTTTGAGCTAATACTGTTCAGTGTTTAGAGAGGCAGTCACATAATTAATGTGGAGAACTGAATTACAGGTTTGCTTTCACAGCCATTTGAAACCTGTTCTTTGCTCTTTTGATAATTTGAGACTATAGCTTTTTAGATACTTGGGAGGAATGTGTATTGTATACTAGGCATTTCTAATGTTTATAAAGTTCTGCCTAATTTCTAGAACGTATGGGCTTTGACAGTTTTTAACTGTTTTAATTAGGGCTCATTCACACCATGTGGGTTGGGCAGCGTTTGCTCAACACAATAACAGGTAGAATTACATTGCTTTTAATAGGCCCAGTTCACAATGGGCAAAAAATGGATGTACTGAAATAAAATGCAGAACCACGCTCTGCAACGCTAAACAGCGTAAACTGTGCTGTGAAAAAATGCAACATAAATGGGGGGTGATTTCAAAGTCATCTGCTCAAACATATGCTGGCCAATCGCCTCTAGATGGAGCTGAGGAGCACACATTGGAGTTACTGTTGTAAAGAGTTCCTAAAAAGTAAGTTTTAAAGTGACTTTCTCTATTTCTACTAGTGTGTAGTTTGATTGGGTTTTTAGGGTATTTTATATAAATGTTTAAAGATTCTTGCTCTATAGAGACTTCAGTATTTCCCAAGCTCAGTCCGTGCCTTTTGCTTGATAGCTACCTAGGTAAAGCTTCAGATTAGTTGGTTTGATCACACAAACTTGTGGATGTTAAGTAATTTGTTTGATCTAAATTTCTTGCCATAATCCGTAGAATTTGCTTTCTTTTAGGAATGCACCTATACCAGTTTTTCGGTGTCGAGTGCCGATATCGATCACTGATACATCGTGAGATAGCGTGGGCCTGGCCAATCAGGATTGGTCAGGAAGCCAGGCTGCCCCGTAGTGTCGTTAGGCAGCGTGAAGCGGTCTTCCCAGCCAATCATGCTCGCTCATGGCCCTGCCATGGAATCTCCCTCTGACTGGCAGTTCCGGTATGGGGGCAAGTACAAGCGCTCCCAAAAGGCACCGATACCAGTGTCTATCTGTGCATCCCTATTTAATGTTTGCATTAACCCCTTCGTGACTGACGACGTACAGTGTACAGTGTGTTTTAAAGCGTCTTCTATGGACTTGAAAAAATGAAAAAAAGGCCTCAGTCATGAAGGGGTTAAGCCTGGAAAGCATTGCAACTGTGATCACTGAATCATGGCTGCAGAGCTCAGGCTTTTGCAGTTTCCTCCCAAACGGGAGCTCCGTATTGAGGTACAGATTTTCAGTTTAAATCTTGCCTGCAAATGGCGAGTACTCATTGGTCAGCATGGTCACCTGACAGCATTGACCAATGAGAAGTGCTTCTTGCCAAGCAGGAGAAAGAAAGAGAAGCGCTAGGAAGCACTTCTCATTGGTCAGTGTGGTCAGATGACCATGCTGACCAATGAGTACTCGTCATTTGCGAGCGATATTTAAACAGAAACTCTATACTTCAGTTTGGGGGAAACTGCAGACTTAACACATCTAATATTTTACTTCCCCCCTGCATGATCCTGTCCAGTTGCATCACAAGGTTGTCTCTATTCAACAGTATGAACCGCTCTAGCACTGCAGATTGCTCAGCTTGTTTTCTTAGCCTTCTATGATGTAACTGGTAGGCAGAGTGTTGCTTGGTGATTTAAAGCCGATAGTTTCTCTAGAAACCAGTCTCTCTGAACAACCCTGTTTGAGTTCAAGTAAGTAGGTTCTACAGAGCTGATAAGCAACAAGGAATGGCAAATTATAATAATTTTTCGGCATTGGCTGCCTCAATACTAACTTTAATGTAGGGAGAATGTATAAAGTTTAACTGAGTTGGCTTAAAAATTACTTGGGTATCAACAGCACATTGCAGGTACTTACAGTACTTGCAATACCTGTTAGCTAAAAAACGAAACCATTTGAAGCCAGTTGAATCATAATCCCAGGCCTTGATTGTCTCCATAATGAGAATAAACTCCATCTGCTTCAATAAAAAAAATTTTTTTTTCTGCCGCAGCAAAACATTTTCAGTGTATCTCTGTGCCTGGATGAATATTCTCCCAAGCACATGCATGGGTGTTGCATCATCCCGAACTGGGCAATCAAGATGGCCGAAGAACCCAAACCTAGTTGAAGCTGGG